GTAAAATGGATGTTTAACATGTTACATATTTAGTTTTCATTCTGTGCAGTGTCCATGAGAACTCTGACTTGGAATGTTTAATACCAAGAGTGGTTAGGTATTAGGGGCTTGCAGCCTAGTGGTGGGGTGTGTGGACTGACATGCCTGTAGCTTTTGGCTTGATCCATACAGAAAGTAATCAGATAAGGAGGGCTGTAGATGCTGCTCGGAGACGGAGCACTTGCCAGAGTGTGCAGGCCTTGGGTTTGATCATACAACTGCAGACCAGAAGTAAGTTCACTCAGAATGCTTCTGGGAAGGCATACGCGCCTTTGATCTCAGCATTTGCGAGGATGGGGCTGGAGAACTGTCGTAAGTTCATACTGCCTGGGCTATATACTGTTTATTTCAAGCCGGCCTGGGATGCACAGAGAGACCTTGTTTCAAAACACTACAGTGCTGAGATAACCCAGTGGGTGAAAACACTTGGTGTGTAGATCTGACAACCTGAATTCAATCCCAGGAGCCCACATAAAGGAGGAAGGAGAGCACTGCCCCAAGAGCTGTCCTCCAACTGCCACCTGTGCCCTGTGGGATGAGCGACCCTCCCATCCCCCATAGAAATAATGAGTAAAATTTAAACACCCCCTAAATACAAAAAGACTAAGTACATTGTTAACTGAGGTCATCGGGATACAGAACAGCGGCAGACTCTTTGCCTGGCATGCTTGATACCCTAGGTTTATTCCCAGTCTCTGAAAAAAATAAACCAACAACAATAGCAGACCCGGGCCCCCCCGCGGGGGGGAGGGGCTATTGAATCACTCTTAGTAAAACAAACTTGTGTTGTGGAGACCTGTTATAGAATCTCATCACGTCATGCCCATGTCCATCTGATGCCGTATCCTGTCCCCCCACCCTGTTTTTTTTCTGCCATGCTGGGAATCGAACTGAGGGCTGTGGGCATGATTGCTTGGTAAGAAAATACCCTCCAGCCCTCAGTGCCTCATTCATTTGCCTTCTTAGTAAATGTTTCATGTGTAGATGGGGTCTGAGTTCAAGCACTATCAATAGGATTGTTATAAGTATTCATAATTATTAACCATTGTACTGTCCCCCCCTCAACCCCCGGCGCACACACACACACACACAGTCTTCCTGTGTAGCCTAGGGTGGCTTTGAACTATATGTAGCTTAGGATGGTCTCAGTCTGCCTGAATGCTGGGATACCTGGCTTTTGGTTTTCTTTTTTCTTGGAGAGAGACCTGAACGTTGAAGTAGAGCCTTGCTTGTGAGGAAATTGCTCTGCCAGTGAGCTACAGCCCAGCCTATGCCTGCATTGGCTTTTATCTCCGTGTTTACTAATTGTTGCTAAACCCTTGTTTAATTCCTGCAATGTGTTTTTTGTTTGTTTGGTTTTTTGTTTGTTTGGTTTTTTGTTTTTCTTTCTTTCTTTCTTTTTGATTTTTCTCGACAGGATTTCTCTGTGTAGCCCTGGCTGTCCTGGAATTCACTCTGTACACCAGGCTGGCCTTGAACTTAGAAATCCACTTGCCTCTGCCTCCCAAGTGCCAGGATTAAGGGAGTGCGTCACCACTTTTTTGTTTGTTTGTTTGTTTCTTGAGATAGGGTTTCTTTCTCTACCTTTGGGTATTTGGCTGTCCTGAAACTCTGTTGGTGGACCAGAGTGACTTCAAACTCATAAAATCCACCTGTCTCCCTAATGCTGGGACTAAAGGCACATACCACCTCTGTATAGCTTGCAATGTTTTAGTGTTCTCCCCCCCTCAATACCAGCCCAGGCTTTTGTTTTGTTTTGTTTTGTTTTGTTTTGTTTTGTTTGTTTTTTGTTTTTTTTTTTTTGGTTTTTTCGAGACAGGGTTTCTCTGTGTGTAGCCCAGGGTGTCCTGGAACTCACTCTGTAGACCAGGCTAGCCTCGAACTCTCGAACTCAGAGATCCGTCTGCCTCCCAAGTGCTGGGATTAAAGGCATGCGCCACCACCGCCTGGCCCAGCCCAGGCTTATAATTAGCCATTTTATGTTAATTGTAGAACCTCGAAGCATTTAGAAAATGCAAATTAAAAGTTTTCTTATTAGATAGTCAGTGGCCAAATACCTTTAATCCCAGCGTTCCTGAGGAAGAGACAGGCAGATCTCTTGAGTTCTAAGCCAGCTGTTGAGCAAGTTCCAGGACAGCCAGAACTACACAGAGAAACCCTGTCTAGGAAAAAAAAAAATGCCAAACAAAAAACTATTCTTATTGAACTCAAGTTCATGGATTTGGCAGCAAGTACCTTTACCTGCTGAACCATCTCCCCAGCCCACTTTCCCTCCTGTCTCCTTCCTGTCATCTCAGCACTCGGGGAAGTGGAGGCAGGAATATCAGAAATGAAGGGTCATCCTTAGCTGTGTAGAAATCAGGGTCACTCCTAAAAACAGACAACAAAGATGAGAAGTGGACGAGTAGGCCCCGGGATCTGGGAGGAGTTGGGGAACAGCAAAAAATATGGCTAAAATATAGCTCAATAAGTTTTATTTTAGAATTACTTTTTGACCCCCTTGAGAGAGTCTCACTATGTAGCCTAGGCTCCTACGTAGTCCAGGTCAACCCCAAATTCACAAAAATCCACCTGTCTGTCTCCCAAGTCCTCAGATTAAAGGGGTACACCATCATGTCTACCTTCAATAAATTTGACTTTAAAAGAAAAAAATGAACAAAGAGGTCCCTTTCCTCTCCATCCTTCCTTCTTACTCTTTTTGAGATAGAGCCTGGCTGACCTTAAAGTTTGGGGCTTAACCAATTCTCCCTTAGCTTCCTGAGTAGCTGAGATGTGTTATAAGGATGGACCACAGACTCCAGCTCACTTTTCTTCCTAATTACAGAAGAGATACAAGTCCCTAAATAGAACAGGACTCGGGCTAGAGTGGACAGGTCTGCTTTGTGCTTTGCGTGTGGACAGTGTCGGTGTTTGGGATATTGTGCTTGCTCCTGTTGGGTCTTTTCTTGTGAAAAATATGTAAGACTCTTATTCCAAAAAAACAAAAAACTTACGGGGAAATGAGATATGTACTAATTTCCTTTTTCAGATCCTGAGAGTCAGACCTTGAAGGAACACTTAATCGATGAGCTGGACTATGTGTTGGTCCCAACTGAAGCTTGGAATAAATTGCTAAACTGGTATGGCTGTGTGGAAGGCCAGCAGCCTATTGTCAGAAAAGTGAGTTCACAAGTGTTACACCTGCTGAGTTCTCCTTGGGCACACTTGACTTCTCTTATTTCCTGGGAGGAGGAATATAGTTAAGTGGTTGAAAAGAAGCAGTTAAAACTTTGTTTTGTTTTGTCCTTGTTTTGAGACAGGGTTTTTCTGTGTATCCCTTACTGTCCTGGAACTTCCTATGTAGACCAGACCGGCCTCAAACTCAGAGCCTCTTCTCCCCAAGTGCTGAGATTAAAGGTGTCCCACTATGCCAGGCTTGAGACCTTGCTTTTGTTTCCTGAGACAGGATCTCTGGTCCATCCAGGTTGGTCTTGTACTGGTTATCTCCTGCCTCTTAAGTGTTGGAATTCTGGTCCAAGAGACTATTTCTAGTTCTCTCTAGGAATTGAAGTATTTGTAAGTAATTCAGGATGTTCCTACGTAGCCTCCAATACAAGAGCTGCCTGATAGTTTAGGATGTCCATAGTACTTGGAGCCCAACACTTCAGTTGGGCTGTGTGGACATAAACTAATACATTCTACCTCTTCCTTTTCCCAGGACTAGGAATGATCCTGGGACCCCATAGATGCTAAGTGTCCTAGCACTGAGCTATGTCTCCAGCCCTCTTTTTTTCTTTGAGATGGTGTCTTATTGAGTTATCCAGGCTAAATTTGAACTCACTTATAGCTCAGGGAGACCTAGAACTGCCACAGTTCAGCCTTTTCATTGAGGCCCCTGGATGCTGAGAGAACTAGTGTGAGCCACCATGCTTACCTAACAACTATGCCAAAGCCATTTCCCCTATGCTCATGAGGCTGATTGTACTGCTGAGTAGTCAGAAAGTAGGTGTTTGTGTGCATAGAAGAATGTCTCAAGTTCTCACACTCTGAGACACACACTTTGAAAAACACAGCCTTTGGTGGAAAGAACTCATGCGATCACTGCCTTGTCTCTCAGTTATTAGGTTTTCTTACTAAAGAGGAATCATAAAAGTCCATTTGTGGCTGCTAATACCTAGATAATACATACGTTTTCATGTTGCTGGGTTGTATGTTCTCCTTAGTAGGGCAGAGCTTCATCCTTGTGTCTGTGTGTCTCTGTCTCTGTGTGTGTGTGTGTGTATGTGTGTGTGTCTCTGTCTCTCTGTCTCTGTCTCTCCTCCTCTCTCTCTCTCTCTCTCTCTCTCTCTCTCTCTCTCTCTCTCTGTTTTGCTTTGTTTTGTTTGTATTTCAAGACAGGGTTTCTCTGTGTAGTCCTGGCTGTCCTGCAACTCAGTGTATAAACCACACTAGCCTCAAACTCAGGATCCTCCTGCCTCTGCTTCCTGAGCACTAGGACTAAAGGTATAGGGCACTATTGTCTGGTAAGAGCTGCATTCTTTTATTTATTTAATTTTTATTTTTTAAGATTTATTTATTATTTATTTATTTATTTATTTATTTTATGTATGCGAGTACAATGTCACTCAGATCTCATTTTAGATGATTGTGAGTCACCATGTGCTTGCTGGGAATTGAACTCAGAATGTTTGGAAGAGCAGTCATTGTTCTTGTTTTGTTTTTCGAGACAGTGTTTCTCTGTGTAGCCCTGGCTGTCCTGGAACTCACTCTGTAGACCATGCTGGCCTCTAACTCAGAAATCCACCTGCCTCTGCCTCCCAAGTGCTGGGATTAAAGGTGTGCACCACCACCGCCCGGCCAGTCAGTGTTCTTAACCACTGAGCCATCTCTCCAGCCCTCAAGAGCTGCATTCTTAAGGAGTCATTATTTCAAATCAGAATCACCACCACTACCAACTTACCTCCTCCCTTTTAAAAAATTTCCCTCCCTGGCAACGGGCAAAGAGGCACCTTGTTGGTGGTGTTGCTCTTATGTCAGTCAGGGCCAGAGCAGATGACAGTCCTTTGTTTAGCTTAATGCCTGGCTTGGTAGCCAAAGCTGTTTCATGCCTAGGGCACATTAAAAAAAAAAAAACAAAAAAAAAAAACAAAAGAAAAACTTTTCATGTTGTCTAGGATGGCTTCAAACTCACTGTGTCGCTCAGGCTGAACTCCTTAGCCTTCTGCCTCAGTGTCCCTTCAGTTGAGTAGTCTTGTGTCGCCATGCAAGGCTTCAGAACCTTTTTTTTTTTTTTTTTTTTTTTTTTTTGCCAGTTTGAAACCCTTGGGAGTGTTAAGGAACAAGTGTTATACAGCCTTCTTTAGAGGTCTATAAGTGCTGTCAGTATAGTCATGTAAACATTCTGCTGAGGTTTGACAGACTACAAGGCCAAAGCAAGAGTCTTCTGTTCAAAGCTGACCTTGCTGACTTTCTGAGACCTGTCTGGTAGGGCCTGGTACATCCACACAGCTCTCTCTGGGTCCCTGGAGATGTACGTGGTCCTTCATTATAGCAGGGAGACATGGTAACTCCTGGGGATGTACTGATGAATTAAGCCTATACTCTGGAAAAATGAATAAAAATTAGTTCTTAGATCAAATGTGGGGATGCATTGCCTTTATTTCTAGCACTTGGAAGAGGTAGAGTTCTTTGATTTAAAGACCAGTTTAGTCTACATAGTAAGTTCCAAGCCAGTCTACATAGTGAGACCTTGTCTCAAAAACAAACAATTCCTGACAGAAAGTTTTCCTCAGAGGTTTTAGCTTTCTGTTGCTCAGCCATGTTGCTTCCAGGACTATCCAGGTGTCCACCACAGCTCCTTCACCCTTGCCTCTTTTTGCTTATAGGTTGTGGAGCATGGCCTGTTTGTCAAGCACTGCAAAGTGGAAGTGTATTTGCTGGAACTGAAGCTCTGTGAGAACAGTGACCCCACCAATGTGCTAAGTTGCCATTTTAGCAAAGCAGACACCATTGGTAAGCAGCTGGCAGGGTTCTGGGTGTCTGGTGAAAGGGTTACAGGGCACTGTAGTTGATGAGAGGGAAGCTGTGCGGCTCCTTACCTCCTGTTACTCAGCTGTGTTCGACAGTCCTGACTTTGAAGTCTTCCTGAGGGAATTTTTATGAAGAATCAGACCTGAAAACTGTATTCTAAGAGGCAGGCGGATTTCTGAGTTCGAGGCCAGCCTGGTCTACAGAGTGAGTTCCAGGACAGCCAGGGCTACACAGAGAAACCCTGTCTTCAAAAACCAAAAACCAAAAAAAAAAAAAAAAAAAAAAAAAACCTGTATTCTATAGAACAGAACTTGGGCAAGCAAAATGGCCAGAAAAGTAGTTCAAGCAGGCTAGAACTCAGTATATAGCCATGCAGAACCTTGTATTCCTGATCCTCCTGTCTCCACCTCCTAAGTGCCTGTTTTATGTGATGCTGGGGATTCCATTCATAGTCTCAGAATGAAAATAAACAAAAAAATAATAAAACAAAAAACGTTTACTACTTGAGTTGGGTCTGGTGTCTAACACCTGTAATCCCAACACTTGGAATGCAGAGGCAGGAGGTTCTGCTAGGAGTTTAAGGCCAGTGTGAGAGCCTATTTCAAAGAGATGGCTCAATGTGTAAGGGCCTGCTGTTCAGGCATGAGGAACTGAGTTCAGATCCTTAGCACTCAGGTAAGAAATCCAGGTGTGGGATGTGAGATGAGCTGGTGGATCCCTGAAGCTCATTGGTCAGCGTTCCCAGGTAAACCAATGAGCTTTCAGATCCACAGAGAGATCCTGTCTCAGAAAATAAAAGTGATGGAAAGATACCTCTGGTCCCCACAGCACACACCCGTACACATACTTATGCCTATACCAACACTAACAAGTCACATACCATACACCGAAGACGGAAGAGTGGCTGAAGAGATGGTTCAGTGATTAAGAGCCCTGATTATTCTTCCAGAGGAGTTAGATTGAATTTGTATCATCTATGTGGCAGTTTATTATTGTCTTAGTTATTGTTTAGTTCCTGTGAAGAGACACCATGACCAAAGCAACTCTCATAAAAGAAAACAGTTAATTGGGGGTTTACTTAACAGTTTTAGATTCACAGAGAGCTCTTGTCTCAGAAAATAAAAGATGGGAAGTGATGGAAGAAGATTAGTCCATGAGCATCATGGCAAGAAACACACTGACATGGTGCTAGAACAGTATTTACATACTGATCTGCAGGCTTTATATATTTGTCTCAGAGAGAGAAGGAGGAAGAGAGAGCATGAGCTACACAGGGCCTAGTGAGGGCTTTTGAAACCTCCCAGGGACACCCTTCTCCAACAGGCTACACCTCCTAATCCTTCCCAAATAGTGCCTCTAACTGGGAGCCATGCATTCAAAGACTTGATTGAGCCCATGGGGGCCATTCTCATTCAAACCACCACAACTTTCTTTAATTCTAGTCCCATGGATCCACACCCTCCTCTGGCCTATTGAGGGTACCAAACACTTGTAGAGTACAGACATAATGTGCAGGCAACAAGGCATTTATACATACACAAACTAGTTGGTTTTTTGGGTTTTTTTTTTTTTTGTTTTTTGTTTTGTTTTGTTTTTTTTTTGTTTGTTTGTTTTGGTTTTTTTTTAAGACAGGGTTTCTCTGTGTAGCCCTGGCTATCCTGGAACTCACTCTGTAGACCAGGCTGGCCTCGAACTCAGAAATCCGCCTGCCTCTGCCTCCCAAGTGCTGGGATTAAAGGCGTGCGCCACTACTGCCCGGCTACAAATTAGTTTTTTAAAAAACTTACTAACACAATCTCAGGGGGAAAATGGCTGGTTCTGTTTGGTTTGGTCCTGTTTGGATGGAGCTGGGGTTCAGTCTGAGGAGGCCCTTTTACTAATGCTAAGCACGCGTTCTCCCACTAAACCACATCCTCAGGTCACTCTAACTAGCACCCTGTTTCTTTGAGATGAAGTCTTGCTGTGTAGCTCAGATGCCTCAGACTCAGGATCCTTGTGCATCATCGAGTCTATTGCTGAATTACAGGCTGTGTGTATCCTGGTTTAGAGGTCACTTTTTTCTTAACATTTTATTACATCACTTCCCCTTCACTCTCCTTACCTCACCCCTTCCTGTGCTCCTTCAGATCTCTCCTGTGGCCTCCCCTACTCCATCTAGAATTGGTGAAATAAACTCAGACGGTTGTATTTATTTATGTGTGTGTGTGCGTGCGCGTGTGTGTGTGTGTGTCTAACAGTAATGATCATAGAACAATCTTCTCTTTTCTTCTTTGTTTGTTTGTTTCTGAGACAGGGTTTCTCTGTGTAGCCCTGGCTGTCCTGCAACTTGCTCTGTAGGTCAGGCTAGTTTGGAACTCAGAGATCCTTCTAAATGCTGGGATTAAAGATGTGTACCACTACCACCTAGCTTCTGGTGTTCTAACTTGTTTGTTTGTTTGTTTTGTTTTGTTTTGTTTTGTTTTGTTTTTTCGAGACAGGGTTTCTCTGTATAGCCCGGGCTGTCCTGGAACTCACTCTGTAGACCAGGCTGGCCTCGAAGTCAGAAATCTGCCTGTCTCTGCCTCCCAAGTGCCTGCCTTAAGTTACTTTTCTTCATCTTTTCATCTTTTTTCTTCTCTTCCTCTTTTTTTTTCTTCTTGTTGTTTTCTGGGGGATTTTTTTGTTTGTTTTTTGGTATTTGGGGGTTTTTTTGGAGGGAAGATAGGTTTTTATACTAAACTTAATGTTGACCTAAAACATTCTAGTAGCTTTGGACTTGTTGGCACCCTTCACCTCAGCCTTCCAAGTGCTGGTGTTATAAGCAGGAGCCACGACACCTGGTGCTCTACATGAGCCCTGCATTATCACGAAGTAGAGTGAGCTGCTTCTTAAGGGAGGCCTCTGAAAGACGATTTGCTTTAGGAGTGCAAACAGGTTAAGGTCTTTAAACAAATCTGTTCTAGATCTTTCATGAACATTTGTAAAGGAAGAGTGAAGATTGGTTTGCCTCAGCTATTATTTATTTATGAAGTTTCAAGACAGGGTTTCTTTGTATAGCCTTGGCTGTTCTGGAGTTTAAACTGTAGACCAGGTTGGCCTCAAACTCAACAGAGATCCACCTGCTTCTGCCTCCCGTGTGCTGGGATTAAAGGCGTGTGCTACCACTACCTGGCTTGCCTTGGGTACCTTTAACTTTATTTCTGGAAACAGTCCTGAGTGATGTTTTTGCCTGTTTTTAGCAACTATTGAGAAGGAGATGAGGAAGCTCTTCAACATCCCTGCAGAGCGTGAAACACGGCTTTGGAACAAATACATGAGCAACACTTACGAGCAGTTAAGCAAGCTAGACAACACTATCCAGGATGCTGGGCTGTACCAGGGTCAGGTAGGAGGGCCCAAGCCACTCCCAGACAGGCAGCTCTGACTGGGGTGTGTGTCAAATCTTCTGGCAATAAGCATGTCAGAAGTAGGGTGTGTTGCATTGTGCTCATCTGGTTTCCCCTTTCACTCAGGTGCTAGTAATTGAGCCCCAAAATGAAGATGGCACATGGCCCAGGCAGACCGTGCAGTCAAAGTAAGTAAATCTTCTCTCTGGTGTACCTGGCACAGGTGCAAAGAAAGGGGAAGAGGGAGAGGGTTGTTCCGAATTAGATGAAAAATCAGTTTGTCATCCCAACTGCATAGTACTTGAAGCACCAGTCTTTAAGCTTGACTTTCATGTACAAGATAGTCCTCAGTATTCCATCAAGGACGGGAGGCGGGGAGGAACGAAAGGGGTTGGATCTGATATTGCCACTTTGACAAAGTGGCTTTTTGTGTGTTTGTTTGTGTGTTCGTTTATTAGGCTACTTTATTTTTCTACTTGTAGCTTAGAGGCTTTGAGAAAGAAAGAGGAAGGTTAGGGTGAGGTCTTGTATGAGTTAAGGGTGATGGCTTGCTCCTACTTGACTCTTCCCTGTGGCCTCTTAGGGATTGCTGCTTAGCTGCTGAGCTTGGATTCCAAGTACAGTTAGGCCAGGAGATGTTCCCGTGGCTTGTGGAATGCACACCCTTAGAAGACTGCAGTAGGAAGCAATGGCTTTTCTTTATGACGTAGTGCAGGTACATAACAT